GTGGTAGATTATAACATAGTGATTTTATAGTGGGTTGACAATAAACGCGGAATTTAAAAGCAAAGACTTAACCATTGTCAGTGGAATCCACGAACAAGTCTTATCACATTGGTTACTTGAATCGGTTGATGTCATCTTTTAGTATTTTGGAAACAAAACACCAAGCAATTTTAATATTTGGAGTCATTGAGATGAGAGAGTATAGAAAACACAGCATATCGACAAATTAGGTCAGTATTTGGGATTGCGTCAACCCCAAATACTGATTTTGGAAGCATAACGCCGAACAAATGCAGTAATTGCAGTCATTGGGTTGAAAGTGTATGGAAACACAAAACACAGCATATCGCCAAACTAGGTCAGTATTTGGGATTCAATCGATTGCAAATACTGGTCAGTTTTTGGGATTGATGAAATCTCAAAAACTGGAATAATGTGGAATAAATATGGAATATATCCATTATTTGGAGTCATTAGGTTGAGAGTGATTAGAAACCCAACGCATAGCAAATCGTCGAAATTTTTCAATATTCTTGCATAATACTAAATAGGTGTCCATATATTCGGTGGAGGTTGCAATGCGTGTTTATCGTGGTGCAAAGTATTGCTACGCTCCTTCAATCTGTTATCATACAATTTTTTTTTCACTTTGCACTTTCTTTGTTTTTCATTTTATTGAAATCTTAACAAATTCTCCCTAGCGCAATTTAAAATGTATTTATCTAAATTTTTATCCTAGTCATAGCCAATAGTCATCTTTAGGGCCCAACATTCTTCGAATTTTGATTTTTTGACCCTAGTTTTGAAAAATTTGGAAAATATGTCCAAATTTCTTGTTTTTTGGTGGATTTGAGAGGTTTGGGTTGGGACGCGATTTTTTCTCATGTTGATCTTCTGAGGCTGCTTTTATTAACTAATCTGGGTCTTATGGGCTTGATCTTGCGTCTCGCAAAATAAGACTTCACGATTTTTTGAAAAAATTGAAAAATTTGACCTAAAGTCCATTAAAAATTGCCATTTTTGGCCTGTTTTTCGAGGGTTTTTTGTGCAATTTGTGTCTTCAATTTTAATTTTTGTGCTCAAAATGGTGTCTAATATTTACGTACAACTACTGTCGGAGTGTTTTTAATTTAATTTGTGTCATCTTTTATATTCAGTTTTTTGGTATTGCGTTTCTTCGTTTTGAAAATGTGTATTATGATTGTTTGTTTGTTTCCTAAATTGTCTCTTGACATAAGGTTTAGGATGATGGATGCAATATTTGGGTTAATGACTTCCAATGTCTTAAACTGTTAGTTCTTACGATTTTTTGTGGTTAGCTTAACTTGGGTCGTATTGTTGGGTGGGAGAGAAAAGCGTATATCGGTTCCGAAGAATGATTTTTACTTTTTCGTGGCTGGTCTAAGTTAAGGTGTTAACTTACCTAATCTTACTTAGGGGTAGTGATTGTGTTCAAGGGTTGGAGAATAGTAAATCGATCCACAAGGTTCAGGTATAATTAGAACTCAAGTAGTTCAGTAGATACTATTTTAAACTTATTAAAGTTAAGTATTATCCTGGGTCAGGTAAGAGGGGGGTCAAATGAAGGATGAATAACCGAAGTTCTTCACTGTTTATCCTAATTAAAATGGTTAGTTTGATTGAAAAATTTCTTTTAGTCCTGGGTCTTGAGGAAGGGTTGGGTAGTGAATCGACGTTTGAGGTCGTTAGACACTTTACTAAAGGTGTGGGAAAGAAAAAAAAATGTTTTATTTGATCCAAGGATAAGCCTTGATGATCAGGATATAAAATTAATGAAATGAAATTTAATTGAAATAAAGGTGAATTAAAGATCCAAGGAAAGCCTTGATGATCTGAATATTTAGATAAAGATAATTTCTTTTATTTTAAGTGAAATTAATTTAAAGATCCAAGGGAAGCCTTGATGGTCAGAATCTTTATATAAAGTTACCTTATTTTATTTCAAGTGAAATTAATTTAAAGATCCAAAGGAAGCCTTGATGATCTGTTATTTTAAGTGAATTTAATTTAAGTGAAAACAAGGATAAGCCTTGGTAACTTTTAGGTAAAGGTTTAAATGAAGAACAAATTAAGTGTTTAGTTTTGATGATGTTAATGTTTTGAGATTTGCTGTTATGTTTTAGGCGATAAAGCTGGGATGAAAGGATGATTTATATATAATAACAATTATGCTTTATACTAACTAATTTTTGTATTTTATGTTCAATAAATATTTTTTCAAGATGCTGTTCATTTTACAGCTGATTTAAGAAAACGACAAGAGTTGTTTTTATCAGTCGTTATTGTATTATTAATAGGTTTAGCGCCATGAAAGTTTATTGAAGATAATTTTTCAAATAATATGTCAGTAAATGAAAATTTGAATTTACTGCTGGAAGTATTCTAAATATAAAAGTTTGATCTCGTTTTTGTCATACAATCATGGAATCGATTGGAAGATTTCTTCCTAGTCGTACGTCGTCAATTGTCCGAGGTCTTTTTCCAATACCGGGTAGTTTCCGTAGTGTGATCTATTGAGTCGTGGAGACATTTCTAATAAATTTTTGTCACTTAACATTTTTTAAATGTCGTATTTGTCTAATTCTAATCTATTTTTTCTAAATCTAGGTTAGTTAAGGTCTGTTCGAGACTTTTTGGTCGCACCAGATGAGTTAAGATGGAGTAATTTCAGATAAGGTACACCGTCTGCTCGTCACGCTATCTTATTTTCGGCCGGATAGATTCGTGCAACTTCTTAGTCTAATACCGATCCTAATCTTACTCTTATATCTATTAGTCTCAGGGTGTTTAACTAGTCTCTGCTAGGCTCAATAGATTTAGAGTATACTGGCTTAGGCGAGTTAGTTCCAGAATGAGAACAACTGTATTCTAAGTTCAATTCAAATTGCTCTGGTGTTGAAAATACAAGTAGTTCCAACACTTACAAATAAGTGGGTTGTTAGTTTGATGGAGTATGATTGGTTAGTATTTAATATTTTATAGAGATAAAATATCATAATAATAACCAATGATAAATACTAGTTTAGATCTGGTTCCACTGGCGCAATTAACGCGCGCGATATTTCGTGCTATTAACGCGTAAGCGGCTCTTTAATCCGCTCATAAATCATTTTAAATTGAATGCAGGAAAATAATATGGTGTTATCAATAGATTGCTAGACGTTCTGAACATCACACTGTAGTTGGCATGGCGTAAAGAGGAAATTTTCAAAAAAAAATCAAAAAAACTTCAAAATCAATTTAGGAAAAAACATTTTTTTTATAAAAACTGCAATCGAAAACCGTTGAAGTGCAGACGGATCATTCAGGGCTTCGCTTTGTTAGAAGTAGTCTTTTGTACATTTCAATGTCCAGAGGGGGGGGGGGCAAAACTGCATTTCCCCATGAATAGCTGAACAGCTCGTATGTTAGTCCTTTTCCCTGTGGATAAATCGTCTTAACACTACTTATAAATCACGATTGTTCAGTGCTCCGATTTTGGAATTATTGTAAATTGTACCATTGGTCTAATAAGTAATGGCGAAGATTCCACTTAGTCATAGAATAAAAAGTTAAAATGAACACCTTGAAAAAATGTCTTTCCCACTCCCCACTCACACATTTCGAAATTTCTATTTTCACAGTTGTTTTACGTGCTATTATGGCTTAATCCGTGATCAGTAGCGGATTCAGGGGAGTGGAAGGGCGCACACCTGCCCCCCTCCCTCCCCCTCAGGGATTCGACCCACTGCCGATCCAATGGCTCCCCCCTTTGTACTATTTTGAGACAGCCATTTTTGGCTGACTGACTTTAAAACTGTTCTAAAGGCGCCTTCAATGCCAATCTATATTAATTTTGTAATTTTGAGGGGGGAGCGCGCGCAGAAAAAAACGCGATTTTTTTGGTCGAAGTTTTCCAAAAAGTGCCTAAAAACGCTTTTTCTTTCAATGGTCAAATTAGGGTCTTTTTAGTGAATTGGGAGAGCTCAGAAAATCAATTTGGTCACCTAAAAAATAAAAAAGTTGACAAAATCCGCCCCCCTCCTCCCACTCGAGAACTTCCTAGATCCGCGCATTTCCGTGATGTTACGATGTAAATTATGAAAAACAAATATGCTCACAAATTTTATTTTTTCACCAAGCCAAGTTTCATTACATAAGGTCATGATGCAATGAAACTTGGCTTGGTGAAAAAAATAATTCTGTGAGCTTATTTGTTTTTCATAATTTACATCTTAACATCACGGAGAGGCGCGGATCTAGAAATTTCTCTAGGGGGGGGGGCAGATTTTCAAAAAAAATCGAAAGTTTTGTCGACTTTTTTTAGGTCGACCAAATTGACTTAAAATAGTGTTTCATTATTGAACTTCAATATGAGGGAAAAGGAGAAAAGAGCCAAAAAACCTCTAGTTCCTTATTGAGGCACTATTTCCTTGAGACATTTGACATTTTTCTTTGAGATTTTATTGTTCTTAAATAAATCTTGGTTTGGCTCTTATTCATCCCCCTACTGGCGAATTTTTTGAAAAAGTTTTATGTTCACATTGTCCGTCTGTTTCAAAAATTGGCGTACGGACTAAATAGGCCTTAACAAGCATATTTGTTCTACATTCTTAACCTTGTAAAACCCCTCGTTACACCATAAAAATGTTGCTTATGTGAAATGGAGGAGGATAGGAAAAAGAGCATTTGGTTTGATCTTAGTGCATCAACTGTCAGCAGATGACTCTTTCAAAGCACTTCAGGTCTTCAGGGTGGTTATTGCAGTGAAAATCCATCCCTGATTCTTGGATGACATATGTCTGATTCAGACCTGAAAACTTAGCGCTAATTCAGCGATGATTGAGCCATGATCAAGGATAAAGTGACCCTAATCATAGACCGAACCATAGATGGTAATCGCTAGCGCAATATCTCTGAATAAGCGATAATTTTTCCTGTTAAGTCAACCCGGGTAAGGAGACGTAATCCATAATGACAACTATTTCAACGATTTTTAGCCTTCAGCCTGGAATCTTTCCTTCCCCTCAACCGTCAAACCACCTTACAAGCCCATGAAAAAACCCCCCACCGGGTTGCCCACTCTGAAAGTGCTCTTCGTCACTGACTTCCACGTGGACCCCGAATACACCACAGGGGCCAAAGTGGACTGCGGGGACCCCCTGTGTTGTCGGACTGCAGATCACAAGAGTGCTAAGAAGGGGGGAAAAGTTGCTCCCAAATGGGGTTGGTTGTTACTCGTGCTTGCTTTTGTAATAGATTGCAACGAACAAACTTTAAAAAAAAACATTTAATTTGTTATTCTCTCCTAAAAATTCGATTCTGAACATAAATATCAAACTGATAATTATCATGGAAAAATAGGCTGTATGTTCAAAGTCATTTTTGACAAAAGTTCAAGTTTTGTTTGAAAGCATTTTCAAAATCAGTTGAGTTCTGCTGATTGCGGAGTGGAAAACTGACTAGACATCGCGAATGAGGTTGAGAAATTAGACGATAAGCAAATTAGACGGAGGCACTTAAAAGGAAATTAGACGATTTTGCAAAACTGCAATTGTGAAAAATTAGAAGAAATAGAGAGAGATTAAAATTGTTGGCAGACAAATTGGGTGAGAAAAGTAAAATTGTTTGCAGACAACAGTTAAATTTTGGTGGCAAAAAATTTTACATGTCAATCATGCATAATTTAATCAATTCAAAACTCTCCTGTAGTATTCGGATTTGACATTTTATGTTCATTTAAACTTATTGTTTTGATAGGTATTGTCATTATATATTCTTTTTGTATTTGTGAAACTCGACTCTTAAGAAAAAATTTTGTAGGCCCTTTCCTTTCGTAGCAGTGATGTCTAATATGCCAGATCTGTAAACTGAAATTTCTAGTTTAGAGAAGGCGCTTGCCGAAAACTCCGCCATGTTTTGATTTTAAGGTATTACTATGATCGGTGGAATCCCTCATACGCGAAGGACTGAATGCGCGAAAATAAAAATTAGCCAATCAGATTTCAGTAATCTAAAATTTGGAAGGAAAGTCAACATTTCCAGGGACTGAATATTGATATTGGCCGAATATAAAAACGACATAAATATGCCAAATTTTCAAATTGTCACTGACCGCCGCCGAATTGGAACAAATTTTATAGTTCAAGGGTTTCGTTATGAAAGAAGCAAATTATTGCCTGATTTAATTCATTTTAATTGAATAGCAATTTTAATTGAATAGCAATTGCGACCCCGAGATTTTTTGCCCATTCGGTCCTTCGCGCATGAGAATAGCCCCCACTATGATCTAGTGTTCCCTTAAAAATAACCAGGTCCCTTGAGAACTTTCAAATCGTTTAATAAATATGATCTCGCCATTCAGAAAGATATCACAGTATATTTTCAAACAAATTTTATGTTTTGTTACTTCTTAAAACCTCTCCCTCGCCATCTTAAGGTTAAAATTTTTTTTAAAAAAAAAACGTCAATAGTGGGTTTTGATGACAAATAAGTCAACTTAATTATGATCGTTAAACCATAAAACAAAGTGAAGCGAGCAAATTTCAATATATAAACAATGTAGTAATTACAAGTTTTAATCTGAAAAGATACTGACTCAACATATTTCGCGAGATTTTTGAAATGAATAATTTATACACAAATTAGTTTTCAAAATTATAACATGCGAAATGCATGCGGGACCTATCTATCATAGTTGCTTTTTCGAGGGACCACTCTATCATAGTAGTACCGATTTTAAAAAGCTTCCAGTGGCAGTTTGGCACGTTTACCGTTCAAAAGACTAGTGCTCAGGGAAGATCTAGAAAAAATCTAGTGCTCAGGGAAGATCTAGAAAAAATCGATCAAATTTTAACTTTTTTTTATGTCAGGTGCCTTGGGCAAGTGTGATGTGCCCCCTCGTACCCTGGAAACCCTGTTTGACCAGGTGAAAGGGGAGAAGTTTGATTTGGTCCTCTTCACTGGAGACATCTCTCCCCACGATGTGTACAACCAGACCATCGAGAGTCAGAAGTACCTCTATAACCTCACATACTCCATGTTCATGAGGTGAGACATGATTTCTGTATTGAGGTTTTTCGGAAATGAAACAAAATACTGAATGTGTGCAATATTTCAACCAGTTAACCTCCTTCAAGTTGTCAGAAACTGACTGATTTGAACGCTTCATTGCAACATTCGTCAGCATATTTTCAAGTTCAGACAAAAACTATGTTTTTTCAACGTTATGGGCTGTTGGATGTATAATAAAGCAATCAAGTAAAGCAAACTTTTCCAATAATAAGTAGAATTTCATTCTTTTGATGAATAGTGCCCATTATGACTTCTTTTATGCCAAGTAATTAATCTTCCTTGTAAGCAATTGAATTTTTTTCTCTGCTTCCAAGACACTTTCCGAACACACCTGTGCTGTCTGCAATTGGGAACCACGAGTCTAATCCCGTGGACCAATTCATCCCTCCTTTCTTCGGTCCCGGGGAGTCCAAACACCCAATGGAATGGCTCTACAATCAGATGGCACACAACAGCAGACGATGGCTTCCCAAGGAGACCGAGGAAACCATCAAACGAGGTACGCGAGCGGAAAAATAAAACTTAAATCATAAAAACTAACTATAGGCGGGGGAACTGTTTTGAAGTAGTCCTTTTTGAAGTCGGAAAAACATTTCCAAATGTTACCGGATGTTTGATCCGCGTTATGAAAGATCACCAAAGCTGGCTGTAAGTTCTAACCATGTCTAGGTAAAAAAATTTCTGTGCAGCAAACTTTTTCTGTGCCCTATTATTTTCTGTGCCAGAAACTGCAAAACATTCGAAACAAAAGACAATATACATAATGTAAATATCATTTCGAAAGCCTCTTTTAGCTGCTTGGACTTCGTTTAAATCACCCTACAAGTCAATCAGTTGACATGTGGTATATAAACCAGCCGAATTATAAACCAGTCGAAAATACGTAATTGTTAAAAAATAGGTAGATAACAATTAAGTAACAGCTACGAAAATCTTTCAAATTTCATCGATATGACATAGTTTTTTGGCTGGCTTATACTCCGGCTGGTTTATTCACACTCAATTGGATATTTAGTTCCTTGCATTTTTTACCCAATATCATAATAATTTGTTTGTCCAGGTGGCTTCTGGTCTTGGGAAGTAGTGCCTGGTCTGAAAGTGGTAGCAATCAACACCAACTACGGCGTCCATGCCAACTGGTACATGAGGATCACCAACCAGGATGTAGTAGATCAGGTGCAGTGGCTGATAGACGAACTGCAGCATGCAGAGGACCAGGGATTGAGGGTCTGGATCATTGCACACCACGTGGTGCCCGACGATCAGGGTTGGTAGACAATGATGAAAGTTATACGTTTTTTTTATCAACTACCGACGGTCAGCAACAGTGGACTTGATCGTTCACCTCTGAAATAAAGTTAAGGCCACTTTCTAAAATCCGAGTTAAATTAAGTATAAAAATTTTTCATTACAAACAGAAATTTAGTTTTTTCTTTTTTCATATTTAATGTGCAAAGCTGCGGTTTCAAAAAACTTCAGCTCAGCAGGTTAAATATAAAGATGAAAAGATAAAACAACCTAAATTTCTGTTCAGGATAAAAAACAATGTTCGAATTCCTGCTCAAATAAATGAAAACTTTAAAGCTTCACTGAGAAGCATTATTATAGCTTTCATGTTGATTTGTTCTTATATTCTTTGTAATATCACTCGAGACTCTACTTCAAGTTTATAGTGCTTTTCCTTATGACTCACAAATCTCATTGAAGCATGCTCAGGAGTTTTCGTTTAGACTTTCAGAAATGGTACTACAAAGTGCTCCAGAGGTACTCCGGATCCATCGCTTCCATATTCTACGGCCACTCGCATCTGGACGATTTCCAGGTCTACTTGGACTCTACCCAGAATGACATGCCAGTCTTGGCTGGCAAAGTAGGCCCGGGAGTGACCGGGTATCATGGAGATTATGCGATGAACTTCGGGTTCCACGTGGTGACTACAGATGGAAAGAGAGAGAATTCCACATTCGGAGTGCTGGACATCGAGACTAGGTTCCTCAATCTCACAGGTTAGAAAATAAATGAAACAAGAGTAGATATAATTGCTAGCTAACAAAACAAGATTAACCGCCTGTTGTGCCAGTAGCCCAGTCGGTTTTGACCAGTTACGTTTGTATTATTTTCAAATTTTTAACGTTTTGTGTACGTGCGTGGAGGGGCACAAAAAAGCTCAGAATAAACTATTAACAAAAATAACCAGATGCTTTATTGAGGTATATGAAATCGAGCAAAAAAGAAACATCTACGCGATAGTTCCTTTCAGTCACTCCGTGATGTGGTAGGAGGAAGACGTTATTAATGTACACCTTGTGGTGAAGCGGAGCTTCGCACAGCATGTGATACATCACAAACATAATATGACTAACTAACCGACAAAAAGTGAAGCAAAATCCTTCAAGTATTTAAAAAATATAGATCTGCGAAAAAACTATTTCCTTCCCCCCCCCCCCCACCTCACTCAAACATGAATTTTATGATCTAACGAGTGATTTTACGAGGTTAATTATGAAGACCAAATATGTTTGTCATGGCCTAATTAGCCTGCATGTCAATTTTCGTGACAATCGGACAAAAAGAACAGTAACTTCAAATATAAAATTTTGCAGGTGGGGGAAAAAGAAAAAGAGCCAATTATTCAATGTCGACGCAATTTTTTATGCGTTTGCCTCGATTTTTTTTAGTTAACCAGCTAAAGCCTAACCCGAAGGTTAATTACGTAAGGTTAACTAAGCTATCACTATCTTACAAGAGCTCACATGGTAAATTGCAGCGCACGTGCGATTTGAATCCGCAATCATATGATTGCTGGGCAACATCACTACTGATGCCCACAGCGCCACGAATTAGGTTTGTTTTGAGAAAAAATGTAAATAAGTTTTTTAGCAATAAAAGCAATGAAAGTTAATTTACCTAGCGTAGCCTAGAATTAAGCTCAAACCGAGAGTACTTATGCAGACGTCCATTGGTCTTTAAAAAGTTTTGTTGTTAAATTTTTAGATATTTTGAAAGGCGAAGTTTTCAAGCCCCACCAAAGCACACACAAGCCAATGAACAGTGAATCAATTTTTCGCAATGCAAAATTAGACAACAAAACTGATGTACCAAAAACTGAAAAAACCAATTACGTATAAACCAAATTTGAAATCCACATGATTAATCAAGATAAAAAACAAACATTGGATAAAAAAATACTGAAAATGAAGACATCCAAATATGTATACGACTGAAATATTCGACAGAGTAGAAGAAATGACTCTGTGATTCTGCTTGAAAAATTGGTAACCTGAAAGAAAAATCTAAGTTTTAATTTGAAAACGCTCGATAATCCCACCCTCAAAAACCAAACTTCCGTCGCTTTCACTAGCTTAAAATTGCAAAAAAAAAAACAAGAAGCCCAGTTAAAACTGGAGCCACCCGGGTGATATTTTTAAAAATGTTTTAACGCGGGATGAAATGCGAAGTTTTCAAAATTTGCATTTTAGCCAAAAACTCAGTGGTTTCTCACTAAAATAAGCAATTAGCCGCTTATATAGGGGAGTTGTGTGCTACACGTTCTTTCAATTAAAGTCAATATCAAACTTGGCAGAGTAGTTCTCAAGAAAAATGAAAAATTTTCCAACAAACGTTAAAATGTTTCTACAAAGTTTTGTACGGCTTTTCAACAAAAAAAATGTAAGCGTTTAAGAAGGGAAGATCTTTGCATCATGTTTTTTTTCAATTGACCATTTATCTCAGAATTGGCACAGCAGTTTTTGAGAGAAAAGATTCCAAAATGATCGAAATCTCAATATTTGATTTTTTCTAATTTGATAGCAGTTTATCTACAAATATTAGGGTGCAGCTACTTCTGCAGAGAAGGTTCCACATTTTTTTCTCAATTGAACCCGTAGCGGCGGAACCACTTATGCAGTAAAAAAATTCATGAACAATTTTTCGATTGAACTCTATTTGGTAAGGTAGTTTTTGAGAAGACAAAAAATTCTTATAAGTTTTTAAAAAACCGCAAAAAAGTTTCAGAAATTAATTTTTTCTTAAGGACGTAACATTTATCTTAGAAAAATCAAGCAGCAGCTTAAATTTGGCTGGTGACATAATTTTTTTGTGTAAAAAGATTTTGGCGCAGCCGCTTGTGCAGGAAAATTTCTCACAACCCGTTCTTTCGATTAAACCAAAATCTAGGATTTGGGAGGGTAGTTTTTGAGATAATTCGAAAAAAATCGAAGATTCAAAAGCGGTGAAAAAACAATTGACAAAAATGACTTTTCCGGCCCATGACTTTTAGTGTAAAAAAATTAGCGTAGCTATTTATCCCATAAAAACTTCTCACAGCCCGTGTTTTCGATTGATCCCAAATTCTCAGATTTTAGAGGGTAGCTTACGAGAAAAACCAAAAATTTGGGTCAAAAACAAAATTTTTTGAAGAATGTAGAGAGTAGGATAAGTTAGAAAGAGACTAGAAAAGTATGCAGGCAGATAGAGGAGTAGAACGTACAGGTCAAAATCGGTACAGTAGTTTTTGAGAAAAATCAAAAAGTTGTAAATAAGGAAAAAATTTCCAAAGATTCTCAAAAAAATTTTAAAAAACAAAATCCCGTACTTTTTCATAGTACCTGTTTCTATCAAACAGTAACTTCTTTTTTTTGCTTTAAGTCATTAGAAACCCAAAAATTTTAAAACATTTCTCTGGATACTGGAAAATTAGTTTAGAAAAAATTAGCTATTTACTAAAATCAATGGAATCACGACCGAAAGGGCTTAAATAAAACGTAGCACTTGACTCGTTTTGATTATGATTTGACGTACCTGATTTTGAGTTGTGAAAACAGCCCGCCCGACTTCATTTGCTTTTTAAGACATAACGTATTGTTACTATTCTTGACATTGAGACAAGTTTTCTGAAACTTTTGATTGCATCTGAAATAGCGACTCAAAAGGGTTTATTCATTACACCTCAGCTTCCTACGCGTTTTCAAATGTCATTCGATCTTTCAAGTTGATTTTTCTGCTTTTAAAAAGAAGCTTCAAATTTTAAACAGAGAAAAACGTAGAATAATCATTCCGGGATTACAATTTTATCGGATACAAATTGTGCTTCCGGAAAAAATGCTGACCAGAATTGGATTAGATTTATTGTCAATTTTTGACACTGAATGCGTAAAACTGTTTTTTTCTTCTTCAGAAACCCAACAAACTGGTACACCAATTTGGCGTAAAGAGTACAGTATGCGTGAAGAGTACCGACTCAAATCTCTGTTTCCTGAAGACTACTTGGGGTTAGTGGACCGTATGCGCCAAGATAGTAACATCACCAAGTTGTACTACTATCGCAAGTACAAGAGTTCACGGCCATTCGACGCATGCGACGAGGAGTGTGTTGAAAGCACTATAAATAGTCTTATCGTCCATTTGTAAACATACCTATTCATGACATGGACATGGAACACTTTCAAGATGCAGTAATCAGGTCATTGCATTACACTGATTTAATAGATTTAGTTTGAGGCCATTATTAATAAAGTTCATGTTAGAAATTAACTAGACTGAGTAGAAACTGAATATACCATCATTTTTCGATCCTAACTTCTCTTTATCAAAGCTCAGCTACCAAAAATATCGAATAAAAAGCTAAATTTAAACACCAATTAATTGCAAAACTATCGAAACACAAGTTTTCTTACAGCTCTTGTAAATTCTATACTACCATTTTAAACCAATCAAGACTAAAGTAATTTCAATCAAAGAACATCGATTAGAAATCCTTCCTCTATACAATAAATCTAGCAGCTATTAATCGTAACTCAGCCAAAATTCTTAAATTTCTTAAGAGCACTGATGTCAATTACTACCTAAAACTCATGATCTCTCAGCTTTTAAATTTAACTGTATTCTTCATTAATGAGTGAAGTTTTGGTTTTCGTCTAATTTTCGTTGCTTGGAACTAAATTTTTCGCCCGTATCGCTGTCTGCGATAGCTTCTAAGTTGGTTAAATTGGCCATGCTTCTTTTGAGTTCGTTCACATTTAGTTTGACGCTCCTAAAAATATCAAAAATTTTGTTAATAGACAAATACATTCATTTTGCTTCCGTAACGTTTTTAACGTAATAATGGCTATTTAAAGACATAGCCAACTAACAGTTGGGAAAAAGTAATGAACGCAAGGTAACTGAAAAAAACTGACTTTTTTTCAAGAGCCTTCAACTTTTGAATTTCGAAGAAAAAAAAATAGATGGCTTTTGAGCTTTTTGAACTTGTAGAACAATTTATTGTTAAAATTAACCCAACTTGAGAAAACTGGATCCATGCGTAAAACTTTTGTTTCGCTGGGAAATCTGATAATTATATCCATTTTCGAATTCAGAGGTCAATCACGTTTTTCGTGACCTTCACACTTTTGCTGTTCGATAGTGGAGTTCGCCTTCCTTTTAACAATGGAAATGGAGCCTGAGCTTAAAAAGAAATCACTAGTCAAACCGCGAAAAATCAAAACTAAGCGTGAACAAATTTTAAGACTTTTTCCTGAAAAAAATCAGCAAGACCTATATAAGAGTACTCACTACGTTCATTACTATTAATAATAATAATAATAATAATAATAATAATAATAATAATAACAATCATAATAATAATGGAAATATCGATGATTTGAGGATAAAAGCATGTAGTGCTTAAGCACAGGTACACCGGCGAATCTCTCTTTTAAAGAACTGAACAACTCGTATGTTGGTCTTTTCTTTTGTGGATAAACTGCTTAGCTCAGTTGCAGAAGTTGATAGAAAAGCCAGTAACTTTTGACCGACTCTCCAGAAGCCGGCGCGCAATATTACATGAATTAGTTTTCAACATACACTTAACAAACATACCTTGCTCGCGGTGGTTCAATGTTGGCGATTTCCTTCTTCAGTATTTCTAAACATATTCAACCAATGTATGTAAAAACTTTGCATTAAAGAAGATAATTCTTTCGAGAAAAGATTCAAGATTTCAAATACTTTGTCGCACAGTTAATGGTTATAAGTTTCTTCGCGGCCACTTACGAAGCTGAGAAAAGCTTTTAATTCCGTCTCAGAAAACCAGCTAAACCCAAGAAACGTCGTTTCGGGTGGAATGAGGTTTCAAAATTAATTGATCTCAGCCGTGTCGAATTCAGAATTTTGCTATCAAACAAATGCAAAATGATCATGGTATTGAAGCTCTTCGAATTTCAAAATAAGAAAAACTATAGAAGATTGACGCTTTTTTAATAATGAAATTGGCCCAATTTGAGAAAACTGAATCAAGATGTACAATTTTAATTGCCGTGAAAATTTTTAAAATAAAATCCAAGTTCGAAACTAGAACTAGTTGACATTTTTCGCGATATTCCTGCTTTGGTCATTTGATACTATTACTTGCCTTCCTTTTATTTAGCAAACGTATTTGAACTGAACTAAAAAAAAACTTTCTAAAAGTTCCTCAAATCGCGGAAAAATATTAGCAATTTCATCGCACTCATTTCTTTCACCATTTCTTTTTTTTGTAGTTTTTAGTTGGCCTAATTCTTGTGATAACTTATTAAACAGAGGAACACATGCAAATCACAGATAAGACAAACAATTATCTCACTCGTTGACGTTAAAGAAACAACTGCCAAATTGCTATGGACTTGAAAGAGCATATTCAAAAAGAAAACTACAGTAATGAAGATGAAATAAAAACGCTTTTCTCTTCTTTTTTTTAAAAAATAAAGTTGATTCCCAGGAAAAACAGAACGAATTACAAGATGGAAAAGTTACCAATCTTGAAGCGGAAAACGACAAATTACTCGACAAAAATTCCCAGACGAAAAAGCGAATATTACAAATAGAGCGTTATTCGTCGAAATCTTGCCTCTAACTTAATAACGTCAAAGCAGGTGACCATCCGGCTCATGACATTGTGTCGCTTATTAGAGTTGTAATAAATTTACCAACTGAGCCACAAGATATTACGGCATTTCATTGTTTACCGTCCCGCGGTGAATTAAAACCAATAGTCGTAAGGTTATTTTTTAATATTCATCAACGCGAAAATATTTGGAAAAATCGCCAGCTGTGCCGTGTTTCAACGAACGGAAAGCGCGTCTTTGTGACTGAGCGCTTAACGGAGGTCAAAGAAGACGCATTGAATTACTCCAAAAAGCAGCACAATTTATATACATCTAACAACTTGGGACGAGTGTTGGTCAAAAACAATAAAGTGACATCAAATGGACTACAGTTCGAAATAAACAGGAAGTAGACAGGTGCATGAGCAGAGCAACGGAGAAAACAGGTGATATCTTTCCTTCATCTACGAGACTATTTATATCTGACAGCGGGAGAAATCGTATTGAAAAACAGAACTGTAGTTATCTGGAGCCTGTTGAAAAGTCTAAACAAGAGGATAAGTTTAGTTGCTTGTTGGAGAAAATAGTAGAATCTCCACGTCATAAAATGAGACAAAAAAACAGCAAAACAACTGCCATTTGAAAAAGATCAAGATGTAAGTAGCGCCAATGAGAAGGTGCTAATTTTTTATATTTATGTATCTCATTTACTCTACTCTATCGGTACGACCGACAGTAACCTTTTGTTTCATTAGAGTTGTATCTCTGGGCCTTAGATGGAAACATCATTTGACGATAATAATTTTTTTTGTGGATTGAATATAAGAATTTTACATTGCCATTAAGATCACTTAATATCAGAAATAAACTATTTGAAGCTTTTTACCGCAATAATTGGTCTTACAGAAACTTGGCTTACTGATTCAATTGACTTATACAAAAAATGATCACACAATAAGGTTTAAAAAATGATCCAATTGAATTTAATAAAACTGATGATTATTATAAAATTATATCTAAACCGAGAAATTGTAATGCACGCTGAGAGGGCGTGGCTTTCTACGTTACGAAAAGCTTCATTCTGAGATCGTGGTACAAGAAATAGAATAAGAAGTGCTTCTGAATAAAAACTTGTGAAAATAAGGGCTAAGCTTGTGGTTTTGCTATATCGACCACCATCCCTGATTATATCGTCATTTTTACAAAAATTTGACAAAATGCTAATTTTTATTCGAAATGTTTGAATAGGGGCAATAATTTTTTGGAACTTTCAAAATTGATACTCTTAAGAAAGAAAAAACTTGCACAGCTTGTATTAATTTACTATCAAATTGCGAACCAACAAGAGAAACAACAACAACACAAACTTTTTCAACCATATTATATGTTCCAAAAACGTATCTACAAAACTGTAAACATCTTTGAGCGATCATTATGCCGTCTGTGGTAATTTTGATTTTAACTTCGATGAAAAAAAAATCACCGAAACTTTCCCGCGAGATCTTAGACCTTTAAAGCAAGAAAAAGCCTTGCCGTTCTTGTTTCTGTTAGATCAATCACTTCAAAACATCGTTATACAGATAATGTCGATATCGTTTTTGAGAATAAAATCACATGCATATATTCCTGCTTCAATCACATGCATATATTCCTGCTGGCAATCTTTCAAAAAACTCAGGCAAAAACAACAAGAAACATGCATGAAAAAACACATTCGATGTACTTTGGACAAAAGGGACAAGGCTTTCGAAAAATGGTTATCAAACCCAAGTGAAAACAATCGAAATCTTCACGTGAAATTAAAAAATGAGGTGACAACACATTCGAATTACTAAAAAAAAAGAAGAAAACAATGCAAAAATACTCGGAAAAAATCCAAATTCAAGAACAGTTTATCATTTTGTAATGAACTTACAAAAACCTGACACAAATACTGATTCACCTCTTTTGCATATTATGATAAAGTATATTGCGTGTAGTGGCACGCAGTTGTCTGAACAATTACCCCACTTGGATGCAATTGAACCCACAAAACCTTAACACTCAATGGTTATATCAATCAATGCTGTAGAACAAGTCTCAAAAGTCATTGAACAAATGAAAAAAAGAAGTCTGGTTGTCAAGATGGTCGGAATTACTTAATCATTTTATGCAAATAAAAGAATCGCTGAGCACACCTTCCACGACTGTCTTAAATTTGCATTTGCAAAAAAGCGTGCCTTAATAAAAAAGGAAAAAGCCTGAGAAACATAGACCTATAAATCTTTTAAGCTCGCTGAGCAAAACTTTCGAGAAAATCTTGTTTGAAAGATTGTTAAAAATTTTTGCAACATGCAGCTATTTTCAAAACAAGTTTCGTTTCGGTTCAAAACACTCATGCGCACAAGCTACAACAGATTTAATGCGGACAGCGACTGAAGAGAAAGAGAAGGTCACGCAATCTTCATTGAACTTAAAAAAACGTTCGATACTCTAGATCATCAGATATTTCAAAAAAGTTAGAATGCCATGGTTACAGAGGACCAACAATTGATATAACGAAAGTCTACTTAATTAATCGGCGTCAATACGTTACAGAAAATTATATTTCTTCAGAAATTCTGCCAGCCTCAACTGAACTCCCACGGGGATCAATCGTAGGACCTTTCATGTTCTTAGTATACATAAGAGATTTTCCAAAGCAATGTCAAACTAGGAAAGTAACACTTTTTGCGGATAAAACAAATATTGTTAATTCTAACAAAAACCTAACACAAATAATGATTTATCTCCCTTGCATATAATAAATAAGTGATTTGCTGGTATTGGCAGGCAGTTGTCTGAAAAATTACCCCACTAATATGTAATTCCACCAAAAAAAATCGAGTTCAATGGTTATTTTGTTCACTGCTGTATAAGATGTCTCAAAAGCCATTAAATGAAAGAAAAATAAGTTTTGTGGTCATGATGGTCTGAGTAATGAAATTCTTAACCTGTGTTCATCTGTCATTGATGAAAACTTAGCCTTTGCTAAAAATAAAAAATCACAGAGGGCACCTTCCCCGACTGTCTTAAAATTGCATTAGTGCGTGCCTTCTTTGAAAAAGAGGGAAAATGAGCCTGAAAATTATGCACGTATTTTAAGCTGGCTGAGCAAAGTTTTCGAGAAAATCTTGTTTAACTGAATGTTAATTTTTTCGCAAGATTCGGCTATTTTCAAAACAACAGTTTCGTTTCCGTTCAAAACACTTATTCAATAACAGAACTAACAGAGTAGTTCTAGCGCACAGCGACCGAAGAAAAATAAAAGGTCATGCAATCTTTATTGACCTGAAAAAAGCGCTCGATAATCTAGATCATCAGAAACTATTCAGAAAATTAGAAGGCTATGGTTACAGAGGACCAGTATTTGAAATAACGAAAGGCTACTTAAGTGATTGATGTCACTACTTCACCGAAAAAAATCTTTCTTCAGAAGTTCTACTCATCTTAACTGGAGTCCTACGGGGATCAACCTTAGGACCTTTTCTGTTCTTATTAAACATGAATGATTTTCCAAACAATGTCGAACAAGCAAAAAATAACACGTTTTGCGGTTGATATAAATATTGTTAATTCTAACAGAAACCTAATACAAACACTATTTCATGACCATTGCATATATTAAATAAGTGGTTTGCTTGTACTGGCAGGCAGTTGTCTGAAAAATTATCCCGCTTGGATGTAAATGCACCAAAAAAACTTTGAGTTCAATGGTTTTTTTCATTCACTGAAGAAGCAGTCTCAAAAACCATTAACCGAAGAAAAAATTAGTCTTCTGGTCATGATGGTCTGACTAATGAAACTCTTAAATTGTGTTCAGCAGTCATTGATGAAAACTTAGCCTTTGCTATAAATAAAAAAAACTCACTGAGAGTTCCTCCCAGACTCTCTTAAAACTGCAACAGTGCGTGCCTTATTTCAAAAAAAGGGGAAAATCAGCCTGAAAATTGTTGACCTGTAAGTCTTTTCAGCTCACTGAGCAAAGTGTTCGTGAAAATCTTGTTTAAAAGAATACCAGTTTTTTTGCAAGATGCAGCTATTT